GGGGAATTCTGGGAGTTGAAGTCCACTCATCTTAAAGTGACCAAGTTTGGACAACACTGTTCTAAGGACTGCATCTTTTTTCCTATTTTATTCCCACAGCTACAGGGAGCAAAAGGATTACATTTTTTAAAAAATTGTAATGGATGTGTGAAGCCCATAAAAAGAGTTAACAGATCTTTGTTTTAGCTTCTTGGCATAAGCAGTGGGGGAAATCATGCCATTTTATGTGGCTTTTTTCCCAAATGCCAGCATGCAAAAGGGGCTCTGAGAGCTACTTAAGGTTCATAGTTGCCCATCCAGGATCCAGGCTGATGAATTTTTATTTCTTTAAAAGTGTCTGATTGTGAATGTTACTGTATCTTTAATCGTCCCTTTTTCTTCTTATGAAGGAGTGGGCCCATCTCGTTTTTCTGCTGCTTTCATCTCCGGGGGAGAGGACACTGACCACCCAGGCAAAGATTCTTTCTGTCACCTTCAGATGGACAACCTGTGGCCCCAGAGAGGCATATGACCCCGCAAGGGCTCGGGGGCCGCTCCTTCTGCCTCACTCACCAGCAATAAACCCCATGCTACGCTTCTCTGCCTCTTTGGTATATGAAATTTTGGACGTTTGTGTGTTGCAATTTTTGCTTAAATTCTCATTAATTTAAATATGGGGATCGAATGAGGAATCGTTTTAAGTTTCTCTGTGTTAAATTGCAATAGCTAAATAAAGTAATATTATTACTGTAGAATTTCGTTTTCATTCCCACTTACTTTTAAATCTTTTCTTATGAACTCACCCAATATGCAGTGCTGTTCAAAAAACACTGTTGCACATGCCTCGCCAACATCAGCGCTGGGCAAAGGGTGTCCAGTGGTGAGCCACGTGTTGCAATGTCACAATGCATGTTTCATAATCTTGGCATCACAGTTAGGAATGGACGTCGATGTGGATATGCCTGAAGTATTTCTCTCTTTGACAGAAGGGGCAAAGAAGAAAAGGCTACCACTGACCTTGGAAAGGCTTTGCCTTTGTTAAGGGGTCCTGGCCATTATTGCTATCAGAGCAAGGCAAAGAGCTTGATAGGAAGGCCAAGGCAGGCTTGCCAGATACACAAAATCTGCAGTCTTGAAATATCAACATGATAGAAAGTATAAAAATTTTCAAAATGCATACAGTACTTCTAAGGAAGTGGAAACTTCTTCATTGACAGAACTCCATAGGATTCACTTCAAAGGAATTCTTCGAGGATTGTCTTGTCAGCAAATTCAGGGGAAAGGATTCAAGGAACTCATTGTCCTTTTCAACATGATTGGTTGTGAACAACAAGGAGCTCTATCAAAACATGTCAAATGTCTACAGTATCAAAGAAATGCTATGTTTTCTATTTAATGGCACATTGGCTTTAGAAACCATCCACAAAAACTATTTTAGTGCAAAGTCCATGAAGTTTTTCTTCTGGGACCAAGACTGAATTTCTTTGACACAACATTTCAGTGTGGCCCTACTTCTCATGATTAAAATGTCTACATGAAAAAAGTGGTAAACACTGAGAGGAGGAACTTCAGGTAATGATCTCACTGGCCTGGTGGATGGTTTTGGAACCCCAAACCAGCCACATTCCTGCTGACACTTCTCCTGTGTAAGAGGATCGTGCAGCTTCAATGTCAGCATGAGACATACTATGCAAATTACATTCCAATCAGTTGCTGCTACAGAGATTAAAGTGTGTGTGTGAGTGTGTGTGTGTGTGAGTGTGTGTGTAGGCATGTGGTTTCTTCATCTGGTTCTGAAGGATACACATTCCAAATGCAACACAAGAAATTGCTCAGATTAAAAAAGTCATTGTTGCTTTCTTCTTTTAAGGAAGAAACAAGCTTTTCTACCAAATTGGCAGATGCTGCCTAAGGGGAAACTGCACCAGTGGTGAGAAGCCTATTTGCACTCAGACGTCAGTTGCATCTGGACTCTACACCAACGTAACAGCCATGGGAGCATGAGCTACAGAAGACCCTAACTCTTGGCTGCATCTGGTGGTCCTCCAAATCTTTGCAGCCCAGATCTGTGGTGCTGGGAAGGTTTGACGTTACCCGGCGGCATCACCTGCTGTGTGGCTTCATGATAGAAAAAATCTGCCTTCCTTTATCTCTTTCAGGAGAAATCCCTCATGTTATAGTTTTGAATGTTGGTTGAGATCTAAAGGGGGACTACTGCATGGCCTAACCACAAACAGGTCTTATATTCAGACTTTCTGCCCTGAAAAATGACCGTATCTTTGCTCTGAACTTCAACCTAGTTTTGTTACCGTCACCTTCCCCAAAGGCTGCACCTGCTCAGAGGTCAGTCAGTCTTCTTGACAGCACCCACGGCTTCATGGAGGGCCCAGGGTGCTCTTCTGCCATTTTCCTCTTATATAAATGGGAGATGTAGATAGAGATAGGGAGATGTACACATACATTACATACATACATAACTTTAAAGCTGTGCAAAACTTCCAATTCAAAGGCAAAAAAGGTGCTTCGGAGGACCCAGCACTAAAAGGTGAAGGTCAATGCTTTTTTTCCCTTTTGCTTCTTTTCTTGCTTTTCACGCTTTTAATCTTGACTATCTCTTTTTTCTCATCTTTTTCTTTCTTTCTTAATATTAGTTCATGTTAGTTTTTACTATTTTTCTTTTAAAATTTAAGGAAGTTTTTTTTTAAAAAAAGGCGGGACGCAGCACAGTCTGCAGTGGCATCTTTTTGCCACAACCCCACGGCGCTCCGGGAGAACGATGGCTTTGGCTTCAAGAGCTGCAGGCGCTCTAGGGCAGCGTTCTTGCCTGCTCCAAGCCCTGTCCGGCCCTGATGAATATGCATTGCTTTACATGTAATCCATATATTCCGATTCTTTAAAATGAGAATTTTGGCATGCTCCAAAGCAAGTGCCAGCTTTCAGAACTGTTATTTCCCCCAAACGTTTCTAGGTCTGATACATTCGAGTACCACAGAAAAACACAGCCCAGGACTAAGTTCGAAAGTAGGTCCCCCGGCAATGGTGAGCAAGGAAAACAACGTCCTTGGTTCCCTACAATTTGTCCTTGTGCTAAAAACTCAGCAAAAATCTTTGTCATGCTAAAGTTGCTGGTGATTCCTTATATTTCTCATCCATTCACCTGAAGTTGTCTGAACTCATTACAAAGTTGACTGAAATATTTAAAAGGAAAAGTAATGAAATATGTTAGTGGCACTGGAATGATATAGTAAAACCACATAAACAGAACTTGTCCCCTGTAACACAGGCACTTGGAGCAAAAAGACATTTTCTTTGGCTGCACCTGAGAGAAGACTGTCTTAATTTGTCCTCCCCCCCAGATCAAAGTCAGTGTCAGGAGGGGATTGCGCGGAGGAGACCCTGCAGTTGACGCCACCCGCCCAGGCTGGGGGGCCTTTCAAAGCTGGGGGCGTACAAGGAAGGGCCCATCCTCTGCTGGCTGGTACGAAACCGCCTTCTGGCGATGGCCGGGCTTCGAGGGGGGAGCCCGCCGTGCAGTCTCGGTCCCGGCGATCTGAGCTGAGCTTCCTCGGCCGCCTGGCAGAGGATTCCGCCAGCGCAGGACGCACGGATGGGGCACCGGCACAGGCACAGCCTGGGGGCTGAGGGCACTTCCCCAAAGCAGGGCGAGGGCCAGCAGGCCACTCACAGGGCCATGTGTGCCCCGGGCACTGCGGCGGCTTCTATACAGTACTTAGATTTATACTGGCTTCCCTCCCACGGAGTTTATAGATAGAACCAACAAATAAATAACTGCAAACAACACACAACGTAGAGTGAAAACGGGGAGAAATAGCAGCCCAGAATAAAACCACAAGGTAATACCACCACCCCCACCCCCAGGCTTCCCTAACTCCCCAACCCCCACGCTTGGGGCTGGGGCCAATCTGATCTCAAGCGGGAAGGTCTTCACCGGCCATGACTGAAGATGCACACTTCCCAAGTCCCACGAAACGGCATTCTTAATGGGTGCCCCCTGCCCCATTGATAGGCTGTGGGCTGGATCTCCCCCCATACCCCCCACATCCAGCAAGGAGATGTGCCGGTGGCCTTTGCTCAGTGCCTCACAGCTTCTGGCGTGTTCTTGGGCTAGACTGTGGCCCCTCCGGGTCTGAATCGGGTCACACCCGCTTGGGCCCTTCAGGCGTCTGCTGCCTGCAGGTTGATGCTCCCTTTGATCTGAAAAAACAGGATTCCTTGGGGTGCCGAGCCAGTCAAGCTGTTACTCCTGGAACTACCCTTCCCAAGGCTTTGGGATCAAATTTACTAACAGGCTTTTAATTAGGAACCCCCTTTTTTTTTAAAGCCAATATTGTCAGGGCAGCTGAGGTCCAAAACCTGCTGGAAGCATCCAAGTGCTTTGCGAGGCAGCTAAACACTTTTTGTTTAATTTGAAGGGATTATTTTTGTCCAAATTTGCCCTCTTGTAATCGGTATTATATATCAAAACTAGGCAGAAGATTACATATCCTCCGCTGCAATAAATTAATGAGCATAATGCCATCATAGTTCCCCATAAAAACCTTTGGAGGTCTTTGCCTCAAGATGCTGGGGAACTCCTGTTTAGAGGAAAAACCTGGGCTGGGGCATGTGTGTGAGCTGGGGGCAGTGCAGGTGGGGATCTTTTCCCTGTGTTCCCAGCAGATACCTACCTGAAGATCACAGTAGAGCAGGCATACAGTACGTGCTAAGCTCCTGGGTAGACTGGGCTGAGAGAGTGACTGGCCCAAAGTCAGCCAGGGGCCCTCTGTGGTGGAATCTGGACCTGCCCAGTGCTTCAGACCCTTGTAAAAGACTCCCGGTGGCTTCAAGGACATGTCTCTGCCGTTTTCTTGGATACTGAACAAACATCTTTCTTCTAAGATGCCTTTTTGGCTTCTCAGGCTGGCCAGGAGTTTCCCCCAGTATTAACCAGGTCCAGCCTTGCTAGCTTTAGAGGGACTCTAGAGTTGCCCTCTAGCTGGACAGTGTTTTGCCAGAAGACAAGTGGGTGAGATGGATCATCACCATCCTTGATTGCCTGCCTCTCTGCACACACACAGCAGAAAGCCTGGGGTGTTGCAAATCCCACAGCTTTTGGAGACTGGTGCTTTGTTCTACAGCCTACAGTGGAGCCACACACACATTAGGGAGCCGTAGGCGCCACACTGCCCAGCCCAAGACCGGCAAGCCAGATTTATTTACTTATCTATTTATTTATATTTCGAATTTAGATACCGCCCATCTCACGAGGAAGTTGTGCCAGACGTTTTATTTGCATTCCTGGAAGATGGGCTTTTAGTACTCGAGATATAAGTGATCTGTGGAATGCCATTTTTTTCTATATAGCATCTTTTACTGACCCTTTTCCAGCTCAGCATTCTTTGTCTGTCTTGTGCCAGCGGGACGATAGCTGCCACCACCCTCCAAGCTGGCTGATCAAAATGCTCTGGACTAAATTGGTGAGGGCCAACCCCTCTGCCCTCCCAACCAAGGAAGAGAGGGAACATAGAAGAACTGATGGCTTGGCTTGGCTTGGAGGGTTGGCGCATTCTTTCAAGACATTGGTTCTGCTCATAACTGTAAGCTTATCCACATTCAGAGTTTGGGAAACTATGCTGCCCATTTTGGGCAACAGAGGTTAGAAAACTCTGTGGGGTTACCAAAAAAAAAAAAC